AAGATCTGAGGATCACGGTTCAAAGCCAGCCGGGGCAGGAAAGTCTGGGGCAGGAAAGTCCGTGAAACTTATCTCCAATTATCCACCAGAAAACCGGAAGTGGCACTGTGGCTCAAATGGTAGAGCGCTCACCTTGAACTGAAAAGTTCAAGGACAGCACCCAGGCCCAGAGTTCAAGCCCTATGACTGAGAGAAAAAAAAGAATTGGCTGAAAGCATAGCTTAAGCGATAGAGTCCCAGTCAAGCAAGTTCAAGGCCCTGAATTCAAACCCTGGTACTAGCAAAAATAAATAAATGTGAAAACGTGTGTATGTGTGAGTAATATTTTTTAATGGACTCTGAGCTTGAAACCAGATTAAAATTCAGGACTAGAGTTTAAGATGCAACTCATTAGTAGAGTGGGTATTTCCAGCTCAGCAAACAAATTGGCCCAAAACTATGCAGTTACTTCCCCTACTGCTGTGCCCATTGTACTAAGGAGATCAGGTGTGGAGAGACTGACACATCTTCAGTTCTGTTGACCTGTGTTGTCTGGTGTATTTATAGAGAACCCAGCTGGTAAGCCAGCACTACAGATCCCCAGTTCTCGAGCAGCTGCGCCAAGGCCTCCAGTGTCTGCAGCCAGCGGACGTCCTCAAGATGATACAGACAGCAGCAGAGCTTCTCTTGCAGAACTGCCCCGGATGCAGAGACCCTCTTTGCCGGACCTCTCTCGGCCCAATACTACCAGTAGTACGGGCATGAAGCACAGCTCCTCTGCTCCTCCCCCACCACCTCCAGGGCGGCGAGCCAATGCACCCCCTACACCCCTGCCTATGCATAGCAACAAAGCCCCAGCCTACAACAGAGAGAAACCCTTGCCTCCAACTCCTGGACAGAGGCTCCACCCTGGTCGAGAGGGACCTCCTGCTCCACCCTCAGTCAAGCCACCTCCTTCCCCTGTGAATATCAGAACAGGACCAAGTGGCCAGTCTCTGGCTCCACCTCCTCCGCCTTACCGCCAGCCTCCTGGGGTCCCCAATGGACCCTCCAGTCCCACTAATGAGTCAGCCCCTGAGCTGCCACAGAGACACAATTCTTTGCATAGGAAGACACCAGGGCCTGTGAGAAGCCTAGCGCCTCCTCCACCCACCTCTGCCTCCTCTTTACTGAGTAATAGGCCACCTCCCCCAGCCCGAGACCCTCCCAGTAGGGGAGCAGGTAAGTAAGTGCTCAGAAGCAGCTTTTATTTTTTTTTCTTACAAGTTTATCTTTTTACTCCTTTCCCCAAAGTATCCCTTCAGTGATGTAGAGAATAACAATTTATATATTCATCCACCTGGTTTATATAAAGCATGATGTAGAGAAATCAAATCAGAGAGGAAGAGAAGAGAATATACTGGGGATAGGGTAATGTTTTGAATTGGGGAGTATGGTGACAATGTGACAATGACCTGAAGAAAATAATGAAGTCCCATAATTATCTGACAGAACAGCTGTAGCAGGCAGTGGAACAAACAAATAAAAAGGCACTGAGGCAGGAATATTCTTAACACTGGGATAGTAGGAAGGAAGTCACCGTGATAGGACTAGATTGAATGAGGGGTCAGTGGCAAGAGCAGAAGTGAGAGAGCTCAGTCTCCCTGAGAGACCATTATAGGACTTAGAGCTGAACCACATGTGAGATGAGAAGCCACTGAGGGCTTCCAAAAGAGAATTAGTATGACAAAATCATTAGTCTCTGTGTTCAGAACAGACTGTGGCAAAAGGAGGCCACACAGGAGACTGAGCAGGTGGGTAGGACTACAGAGGGATCACTTGAGCACAGACATCTGGGCAACATGATGACATCTTGCCTGAACACTTCCCACAACTCCAGGAAGAAAGGAAGAGGGAAGGGAAAAAAGGGAAAGAAAACAGAATGTAAGGAATGGGAGGAGAGGAATGTAGAAATCTCTTAAGGAGTTTGCTGTGAAAACCTGGGTAGGTGTGTGTTTGTGTAAATAAGTAATAGAATGGTAGATATGGGTTGTGAGTTGAGGTTTTCTCTCCAAGATGGGAGAGCTGGCTGCTGATGGATTGGGTAGCCTAAAATGAGTGAAGAGGGGAAGATTGAGCTTCCTAAGAGGGAACAAACTCTCTGAGCCTAGTCTTTGAGGAGGTGAAAGGAGATGGAATTTGATCCATACGTGGGAATACATAGTTCTTCATAATAACAGCAGGGAAGGCAAAGCATATAGGCATAGAAGCAAATAGGTAATTGGCAAAATGGTAGGAACATGTTAAAAAGGTTCTAATTTTCTTGTTTCTTCAGTGAAATAGAATGCAAGAAAATTAGCTGTATATGAGGCCAGAGGAAAAAAGGAGAGATTTTAAAAATATTTTTATTATTTTTATGTAGTTGTATACAGGAGATGTCATTCAACAAAGTAGTTTATGAATACAGTGCATCTTGATCAATGAGAGAGGACAATTTAAGGAGAGAGAAGAAGGCATGAAGTCCTCATGAGAGGCTTGAGAGAGTAAAGAGACTGGGAAGTGTGCCTGGATAGGCAGCCACAGAGGGCCTGCCTGAGATCAGGGGACATTCCAAGAGAATAATCGGCATGGTGTGTGTTTAGCTGCCATTTCTAGGTACAGGAAGGGACCCAAATTGTATTTAACCAGTACTTGGATTTTGTGATCCCAAGGAAGAGTGAGGTAGGAGAGGGAATAATTTATGTAATGGGTTGATTTTTTTTTTTTTTTTTTGTCGGTCATGGGGCTTGAACTCTGGGCCTGGGCGCTGTCC